AGTGGTTGGGGGGGGGGGGGCAAAAATTTCCGAATGACGGAAAAAAATTTAGTAGTGCTAAATGGGCGGAGGCGTATTTAATTAACTATATATTGGAGAAGTTGCAGGAAAGTATGGGTAACATGATCCTTTGCAGTTTGTCATGGATAATGTAGCCGCTTAATATTAATCAATTGTCAGTATTTTAAAGGTACATTATTTAAATGATAAAGGTCTGCATGATTTTGAAAAAAGAATGATTATTAGCAAATTATCGGGAGGGCTGCAGGCCCCCCCCCAAGCCTCCCCCCCGGTTACTACGGCCCTGAGAAGTAATAAACCGAAAAAAATTACCGTTACGATTTATTAAATGTTATCCATGTAAATGCCATTATTTCGTAAATCAGTTCATATTGACAATACAATAATTATATTATATTTTCTCTGTTTAACAACTAAAATTTATACTATTATTGCCGTAATTTTCCGAATGGCCAACCCGATTTTCCGAATATGTTAATTCTAAAAAGTTGGAGGGGGGGTTAACCCCCCACCCAATACCCCCTCGCTACGGCCCTGATGGAGTTAGGAGGGTGTTGTCGAGAGAAAGCGAGCGAGGCGTTTTGTATCTATTACGAGGCCTATTACATGTCTAATGAAAGCCCAAAATTTATCTAGTTCTACGACGACGTGCAGTGGCGCCGCCAAGGGCGGGCGGGAGCGGCCGCCCCCCTCCCCAATGTTTTTCAGAGTTCAGAGTGTAGTTTTAGATTCGTTCAAATTCGATGAACAGTTGGGGATGGGTGGAAAATGTGGAGTTCTAACTCCATTTGTGCAGTGCTAAAACCACTTATTTTTCACCCTGCTCGGTTTCCTTTGTTCCTAGCGGGGAATATATTCGATATTCCCCTCTAATCAATTTCCGTTTAATAATCCCCTCTAATATTCACCTGCAATTAATAATCCCCTCTAATATTCACCTGCAATGTCTTTGCAGCACAAAAAAATGAGAAAAAAAACAACATAACGAAGGCGATATGGCATTAAGAATTATTTCTATTCTGACTCATTAACGCGACCTCGCAGTGTGAAAAATAAGTACGTTATTTTGAGGCACCTCGGGGATATGTGTTTATTCACCTCGGCGCTACGCGCCTCGGTGAATAAATCACATATCCCCTCGTTGCCTCAAAATAACCTATACATATGTGCAGTTACCACTATGTTTGTCGTTTCCCTTATGGATGCTCCAGAAAATGCCAGAAATGCAGTCATTGAGCCTCAAAAATATAACATTTTCTGGACAAGGACCCCCAGACCTCCCAATCGTCTTTACAAAACACCTATGGAAGGGGTAGTGGAACAAGGATGAAAAGGAGCGAAGCCCTCTGAAAGAATTATATTTTTTTTCCCGGGGCATGCCTCGGACGCCCGAGAATTGTGAGTCACAAAATTGCCTCCCCATAAAAAATTCCAGCCATTGACGACGTGGCCTAAGATTATTCAATGAAGTGCATTCCAAAATGTATTTTTTTGCAAGCGTGAAAAGCAATTGATGAGATGTAAAACCTCTTATAGTAAGGCAGCAAAAATTTGATCCATTCACTTTCATGTTATATAAATTCAGGGATGCTCAATATAAAAAATCGAATAAATGAGGTTTGCTGTGGTTCCTGCATTCTCTTGTGAAACCTATGCTCGCAGTGTATTTGACGGCTATTCGGCTAATGCTGTGTTACTAATGGTTTGTTTGGTCTTGGTTTCCGTAGCTGTGTCGCATCTTATATAGCCTATCTAAACCGTGCGGTTCCAGCGTAAGTTTAGTATAATACTAATAGTAAAATGACTTTGTTATGGATGTCCGTTGTAAGCGAAGGATATTCCAGTCGTCTAAGTCTTTCTACAGAGAAAAAAGTATGAGTGTACGGTGGCTGGGGTGAGACTTTACCCGATGCATATAATTTGATATTTTGTACTAAATTACCCTAAAGAAAGGCCGATACCGCGTGCAACTTCAAAAGCCCACTGAACTACCTAATATATATATATATATATATATATATATATATATATATATATATATATATATATGTATATGTATTATTATGTATATGTATAAATATCGTACGCGTAAATATAGATACTGGAGGTGGATGTTTTGGTTAAATAAAAGCGTGCTTCCGCTGCTGTGGAGACACATTCCCTTACCAATGCTCAGTGTGTTGAAAACACGGTAAAAAACCCTTCATATAGTTATCCTAACTTTTATGTGCATGCATGTGAAATAAGATATTCCATACGATGTATACCAGGTTTCTGTATACCAGCTTTCTAGCCAAAGAAAGGCTAATTTTGTATATTTAAGCCACCGTACCTGTTTTACACTGATTGGATAAATCTCGGTTTGAAATAACGATGTATCTGCTAGAAGAGGAGCACTGAAGTTCATTTAGCAAACAATTTTAAATAAATAAATATAGTGTTATTTTTATGGATTATATCCGACCCTGACGACTTGTTGGTTTAAATTTGATGAAGAGATAACTGTGTTTGCGATCATATAGCATTGACAAGTAACTGTTATTATTAAGAACCAGCTTGTAATTTGGTACATGTATATAGCGTTTATCGTCAGCTACTGTCTATAGTATTGTAGTAAAAGTTATACCCTAGAACTGGATCAAATATAAAATATTCCATAGTAACAACCCCAGTTTAATTAAATACAATCCTAACTTATCTTAATTTAACTCTGATGTCAACCCTAATCGTTGTGCACGCCATTTCAGTAAATAATATGAGTATAAATCCTTATTTCGCGCATGAATATATATCTTTTTTACCTTAAGCATGCATTCCTAACCCTGGAAACATTAGAATCTAACCATAATACGGCAAGTTCCACCTTAAACTGTTCTCAATTTTCTACTTTAATCCCAATTCTACTCGGTCCAAGTAATATAACTTAGTCCCTATAACCTAGAACCTCTGAAGAAATGTAAGAACTCATTTGAACTTATTCTTTTATATGTCAGCTTAAAAGATCATGGGTAAGCATAAGAGAAATAAAAAGAAGAAAAAGAGAAATTCAAGAAATAATGCGCAGTACGACCAAGCCTCACCGCACACAGAAGCACGTGGCCCAAACGCAAAGGGTAAAAAGCGTGAGCTTTCTCCGTATAATAACGGTCAACCACGTGGAACAGGTAACGACTCAAATGCACAACGGGGAGAAATAAATACTAGACGTTCGGATGGAACACGTTCAACTTCTCACGAAGAAGGAGGTCCAAAACGTCAAAAGCGTGTTAACGAGAACGAGCAGTCAGCCGAGAGAACCATCGGTCAGACCTATAATGCAGAAACATCTCAACTTGGCAATTTCAGTGATAGTAACCAAGTCAGACTAAACGCATCTAGATCCAGTGAAACGTTTGCGAAATCATTGCTAACAGCTGGGCAATACCAGGTACTACAATTTCTACTGTATATAGTTGAACTCATACATGGGTCATGAATTTATCGAATTTCCTTTACGTTCTACAAATTGTTCTCGAGACGCCACAGCAAGATATTTTCAAGGCACTTAAACAATAAAATGTTTACATAGTTTAATTATATAATAATAATAATAATAGCTTTAATTTGAGCAAATCGTAGTCAAAGACTAAATTAAATTTACCCATTACAATGTTGCGTTAGAAAGGTAAAAGGGGAAACAACTACAAACATCAAAACTAAGAATACTGTATAGTATATACTGAATTATTTACACTAAATTCTAAAAAGTCATCATTTTAAAAATATGTAGGGCTATACATTCCCTATTTTCTTCCTAATCGTATTGTTCCATTTCACAGCAGATTTGACAATAAAATTGTTTCGAGATCTATTAGTTTTATATGTTGGCAACTGGAATTGTATTCCAGAGGCCTGGGA